ATTATTAACGAATTACGAATTAACGAAACGAAACCGCCCAGCCCTAGAAAGGACATCAGGAAGAACTTCCTGACTATAAGAACAGCTATTCAGCAGTGGAACTTTCTGCCTCAGAGTCTGCTGGAAGCTCCTTCCTTGAAAGCTTTAAACAGAGGCCGGATGTCATCTGTCAGGGATGCTTTGATTGTGTTTTTCCTGCATGGCAGAAAGGAAGTCGAACTGGATGGCCCAACTCTTATGGTTCTATGATATTTAATTTATTTTGCAGTTGTTCTTCATAAGGGATTTGATAAGGGATTTAAAAATGGAAATGGAACAGATAAAATGTTTAATTGTGTGCATCAAAGAGGAGAACTCCTTAAAATTAAGGAGTGGCTTTAATTACCAAATGCTCAGCAGAATACTTCAGTTTCCATGACCTCTTACAAAAGACACTTAACCTGCCTGGTAGGAAGGAATATTCTGCCACAAAAAAGGACTGCACTCTCCCCAGGGCACAGCTTCTCAACCCACCTTCCCTGGACTTTTAGAGTTCTGTCAGAAGTCGCTAAGGGCTCTGTGAGAGGCTGGCATGGAAAGGGAACCCTGCATAAACTGTATTATCTCGGAGGCAGAGAAATTTTAATTCTTACACAGGGCTTCTCTGAAATTTATTCCCAGGGTTGCTCTAGGGTAAAAGGTTTGAGAAAGGCTGCCATAGAGGAAGGAATGTATAATGAAGCTTCAAATAGCAAACACAGATGTATTTGCCTCCTTAGCTTCATTCAGATTATTTAATGCAAGGCATTTCAAACCTTTTCAGCCGCATAGCCCTTTTGGAAGCAAAAGTTTCTCATGGAGCGCCAAGAAATATTTATATTATATAATGCAGGAAAAGCGCAATCAAAGCACCCCCAACAGATTGCCACCCAGCCTTTGAAATAATAATAATAATAATAATAATAATAATAATAATAATAATAAGGAAACAATAAACATTGACAAAATCACGATCTGTCAACTGCAAAAGGCCACCTTATTTGGATCTGCGCGCATCATTCGAAAATACATCACATAGTCCTAGACGCTTGGGAAGTGTTCGACTTGTGATTTTGTGATACGAAATCCAGCATATAGATCTTGTTTCCTGTGATATATTGTGTTTTTGTGGCAGTAAAATAATAATAATAATAATAATAATAATAATAATAATAATAATAATAGAAATTCCAGGGGCCATCCAGTTCAACTCCCTTTATTCTGCCATGCAGGAAAAGCACACTTTGAGGATCCCTGATTTAATGGATCCTAAACAGATTTGACTAAGAAAACCCTATAAAATACATGGTGCCGCCACGGGTTTGGAGGCAACTTGAAAGCGCCTCCATGCATACAAATATCCTGATCTTGCTAGGAGGCATCAGGCTTTCTCCTATATCTCTTAAGCCCATCACTGATACAGCATAATAGTCCACTTGCTTTATTTATGATTGCTATGCTCCCGCACATTCTAGTGTTAGGCTTCCCATCAAAGGCAGATTTATTTATTTATTTATTTATTTACTTATTGCATCTTGATATATTGAAGAAGTCAGAAGAGACTTCCAAAC